GCAATTGCCAACGAATATTAAGAGCGCGGGATCATCACGACGCACAGAACACGCTGCTATGCCCAACGACAACGTTGCCAGCCATTCCCATCTTAACATGTCATCGGCCGAGCAAATAATTCTAGCCACTGCATTGGTTTTAGTGAAGGATTCATCGGGAAGTTATCAAGTGGGTAGAGCCTTACTTGATTCATGCTCTCAGGTCAACTTCATAACGGAGGAGTTTTCAAAGAAGCTTAGTTTAGCAAAACATAAACATCGGTTGCATGTTTCCAGTATTGGTAGTTCGTTGACCAACATAAAGTATCAGACGCTCACATCAATCAAATCTCGTCATTCAAATCTTGAACTTGCTTTAAACTTTGGTATTACGAATCACACCGCATATCAACCAAGTTCTGAAATCGATATATCGTCGTGGAAGGTTCCACCAAATACACCTCTCGCCGATGAGCAATTCTTCAAATCCAAGCGCGTTGACCTTTTGCTTGGAGCTGAAAGTTTCTTTGACATTTTGTCTGTCGGTCAAATCAAACTAGGTGAAAATCTTCCAGTACTTCAAAAAACACTATTAGGATGGATCGAATCTGGCAAGTACAAGGGTCAGCCATTTGCATCACCAGCAGCAAAATACCTATTATCAGTTGAAGATACAGTTTCCGATCAATTAGAAATGATGTGGAAGATAGAGGAAGTGCAACCGGCTGCAAGGTCATGGTCACCAGCACATGTTGCGTGTGAGTCATTATATCGTGAAACGGTGCACCAAAATGCGACGGGAAGAATTGTCGTTCGGTTACCATTCAAAGATTCGCCAGATTGTCTTGGTTTGACACACAATATCGCCTTACGCCGTTTTTGTTCTGTAGAACGGCGCTTGTCATCTAATCGTGCACTAAAGCAAGACTATCAAGAATTCATGAAACAATATCGAGAGCTCGGACAGATGACGCGTGTTGAGACTCCGACAACCAACGAACCACATTATTATATCCCTCATCATTGTGTTTTAAAACCGTCGAGCACAAGCGACCAAGCTGAAGGTGGTTTTTTATGCGGCATGTCCAACAACATCGCAACGTTCATTAAATGATATTCTACTGGTCGGCCCGACAATTCAGCCGGAGTTATACTTGTTGCTACTTCAATTTCGTTTGCACCGATATGCCTTGACGGCTGACATTGTTAAGATGTACCGACAGATACTGATAGATAAACCAGATCGAAAATTCCAATACATTTTTTGGCGAGATACGAAGTCCGATCCTGTTAGTACTTACGAATTGAATACAGTCACTTATGGTACTGCATCAGCACCTTTCCTATCAACCAGGAGTTTGCAGTATTTGGCGGACAAATTTGAAACACAATACCCAATAGGCGCTGCACTCATTAAATCATCGTTCTTTGTCGACGACTTCTTAGGTGGAGCGGATTCCATTGATCAACTCACCAATATCAGACATCAGTTAACGGCCATTTTACAGATGGGTTGCTTCGATCTTGACAAATGGCATTCAAACCATCATGACTTCATCGGCGATACTACAACTACTACAATCTTGATACAGATACAGTCACCAGCGTCCTAGGCATCAAGTGGCACCAAATGCAAGATGTTTTCCTATTTTCGTTTAATGCGCAACCAGGTCATATTGTAACAAAACGCACCATCTTATCCCTTGCGTCTTCATTATTCGACCCACTTGGATTACTAGCACCCATCATACTCGTAGCAAAAATTATGATGCAAGAATTGTGGCTTTTGCGTGTGGACTGGGACGAGTCAGTCCCTCAAAATCTTCACTCAGCTTGGAAAACATTTATTCAAGATCTTACAACGCTTTCATCGGTTAAGGTGCCGAGATACTGCCTATCAATAAACTATCAACAGGTTGATGTACACGGTTTCTGTGGCGCTTCAATACGCGCATATGGTTGCTGCATATTTCTCCGATCACAAAATACATCAGGTAAGGTGACGGTCAGGCTATTCACTGCAAAATCCCGTGTGGCACCTATCAAACGGAAGTCGCTACCTAAACTAGAACTCTGTGGTGCCTTACTTCTTGCCAAACTGTATCAGAAGGTCCAACCAATATTTGCGCATTTTAAGGGTGAAACGTTTTTTTGGACTGATTCACAGATTGTATTACATTGGTTGAAGCAGCACTCATCAACCCTGTCTGCATTCGTTGGCAATCGAGTAGCGGAAATTCAAGATATTACCGCAAATGGGCAATGGAGACACGTTACTACCCAATCTAACGCGGCAGATGTTGTGTCGCGCGGCTGTAACATCCGCCAATTAACAGAGTCTTGTTGGTTTACGGGGCCGGAATTTTTGTTACTCGCTGATAAATACTGGCCGCATTTGAAATGTCACAACCTGGATATGGAAGAAGTCAATAAAGAGACGCGAAAGGTTGTATTCGTTAACACAAATGAAGACAACTACGTATTACAGGTATTGTCAAGATATAGTTCATACAACAAGATGCTACGAATAATAGCGCAGGTACAGCGATTCTATCATGTAACCAAGAATAAATTGAAGAACGGAGAATGTGCCCTCCAACCTATTCAGCTACAAAAGGCATATTATTATATGTATATGTATTATTTGGGTCATCCAACAGCAATTCTTTGAAATTGATATATAACGCCTACAACGAGGCAACCCAGCCGAAGGTACATTAAAGCATCTAAATCCTTTCCTGGACAATGTATTCGGTTATCCGTTACTAAAGGTGGGAGGTGCCTCGAGCTGAGTGACATCTCAGTAGGCCAACGTCACCCTATTCTGTTGCCTAAGGACTGTTATTTTGTGGAACTTTATGTTCGGCATGTACACTTGTGCAACTATCATGCAGGCGCAAAGGCACTAATTGCCCTTACTCGACTAAACTTTTGGATAATTAATATTCGAGAAATTGCACGCCGAGTCGTGCACTCATGTATTCATTGCGTGCGTTATAAACCCAAACTACTTAATCAAATGATGGGTAATCTCCCAATTGAACGCCTCACTCCATGTCGTCCATTCGCGCGTACTGTGGTAGATTTTTGCGGTCCGATATTAACGTATCTTTGAATTCGGGGACGGGTTCCATATAAGACCTATATAGCCGTGTTCGTTTGTTTGTCTACAAAGGCAGCTCATCTAGAAGCCTTGTCAGACTTATCTACGGAGGCATTTATTGCAGCACTGAAAAGGTTAATCGGTAGACGAGGGTTACCATCAGATATTGCGATAACGCCACAAACTTCGTTGGGGCCAACAACAAACTAGCAGAGTTAAAAAGGATGTTTTTCGAGAAGTCTAATCAAGTGATGCTGCAGATCTTTTGCAGCAACCAATACATAAATTTAAATTTTATACCGCCCCGAGCACCTCACTTTGGAGGTCTATGGGAAGTGGCTGTAAAAAGCGCGAAAGGCTATCTGTATCGAACACTATCAAATACTCGATTCACCTTTGAGGAGCTTGGAACAGCACTGATTGAAATCGAAGCCATCTTAAATTCGCGACCAATCACACCTCATTCTTGTGACCCGAGCGATTACGAAGCGCTAACGCCGGCACATTTTCTTATCGGTGGGCCGTTCAAAACACTACCTGAACCAAGTCAAACCGCAGTCAAACATCACTTCTAGCGCAGATGGTCTAAAGACTATCTGAATGAGCTGCAGATACGCACCAAATGGACAGAAGAACAATCTAACATCACCGAGGCGGCCCTGGTTCTAATCCATGAAGACAATATGCCTCCACAACGCTGGTTGATGGGCCGAATCGTGCGTTGCATCAGGGGTCCAGATAATTTGGTTCGTGTTGTTGATGTGCAAACCCCAAAGGGAGTAATACGCCGTCCAATCCACAAACTCGCACTATTACCAATTGAAAATCCTTTCAAGGGGGGCGGGATGTTAGAGCGGTTAAAGTCAAATTGTTAATATTGTAGGATTCTGTAGAATTATTATAATTAATGTGTTATATGATTTATATATTATATTTTATTATATTTTAATCTATTGTAAATCACATATTGTATAATTAAATTATTATAACTAATATATTATATAATTCATATATAATATTTTATATGGTTAATATATGGTTAATTAATTTATCTAACTAACCCTGTATAAGATGTAATCAAACCAACGGTTCTAATTCTTGTTTTTATTGCCTTTTGTTTTTTGCGCTCGAGATGAGCAATTTTTTGTTATATTTTTTGGCTGCAAGTAAACTCCGTTGGTTTGATTCTGTCTCTAGTTTTTCGATCGCGAACGTGTCAACACACGGGTACACACAAAAAAGTGATTAAACAATCAATAACCGAAATTGTATAAATTCAATTGTATAAATTAAATAAAATCAAATAAAGATCACAAAACCCAATTACAAAAACGCTTATAATTTACACACAGAATACTACAACGACAATGGGATGGTTTTCGAACGACGAGAATGTCAACCTACAACAAAAAACTGACGTCACCAACAACCTGCAGCAGAGCCAGAATACAACACATGAACTGGTAGTTTTAGCAACTAACATATTATTGTAATACTTATCATAATATATATAGCTCACAAGCTTAATATCTATTTTAAAAATTATGTCCATAAACATGCGCATAGAAATTTATCTAATGACGCATAATAAGCTGAGCAAAAAATTTATCTAACCTTTGTAAAGAAAAAAAAAAATATATACTTATATACTAGATGACCCGGCGAACGTTGTTTCCCCTTGCAATTAATTTTCCTAGTTCAGTTGAGTTATAATGTTTGTTGTTATTCAACTTAACCTTTAGCATTTTAATGCGAAAATTATTTTGAATTGATTTTTTCTTTTGAACTGCAAAAAGTTCACATGCATTACTTATGTTACGAATATTTTCAAGTTACTTCAAATCCTTATAAGCACTACATTTAAATGAAAAAAGGTTTTTTTAATATTATATTAACAGTTTTATTATGAGCTATTATGTTATCTTAAAGCTAAATCATGAACAATATTTTTTGTTAAGCCATTTTGACCGTATATACATAGATCAGAAGGTTTTCCAACACGGGAACATGCAACATATAGTTGCCCATGCGAAAAACATGGATATTCCAAATTCAGTCCACATACTTTTAATGTTTGACCTTGAGATTTATTAATTGTCATCGCAAATGCTAAACGAATTGGAAATTGCAATCGTTTGAATTGAATTGGAACATCGGTTGGTATAATTGGTATGCGTGGAAGCAATATATTTTCTCCTCTGAATTTTCCACTTAATATTGTTGATTCAATTAAGTTCCCCATAATCCTTTAAATTACTAATCTTGTTCCATTACATAATTTTGGTGGGTTTAGATTGTGTAATAAAATGATTGGTGAACCAACATTTAAAAGTAAATTGTGTGGTGGTAGTCCTGGCAAATCAAACGAATTTAAGAACTCAGTGGGATAATTCACAATCTCGTTTTCATCTACCACTGTGTCGATGGATTGTAACGAAATTAAATTACCAGGTAGCATAGCTTGAATTTTTGAATTGATTTCATCGACATCTAAGTTCTTGGCAGCCAGAATCGCTCTACTTTGAAGCCATTGATGGTTCTAATAATTTTGATATATGTGAGGAAATACGCTTTCTATTAATTCCTCTTTCGAATTAACAATTTTACAAAAATTTTCTGGCAATTTAATAAAGTGCGTATTTTCATGAAGACTTGCTTTGCTATTAACAATATCCAGCAATTGTTTGGCAAACAGTTCTGCAGCTAAATCTCTCTGTAGTCCAACACGCATGTTTTCGGTAATTCGCAATATATGGACACCGCCACAAAATAGATGATTTAAGGCAAGCATTGATTTCATCAGCATAAGTTGAACGTGGAATAACTGGCAATTTTTGTCTAAAATCACCTGCCAATAAAATTAAAGCTCCTCCAAGAAGTCTATCGTTGGCATTTAAATCTTTAAGTGTTCGATTTAATGCTTTCAATGTATACTTATGTGCCGTTGTGCATTCATCCCAAACAATGATGTGACATTTTCGAAGTACTTTAGCCATATTGGAATGTTTTTTTATATTGCATACTGCTTTTTCACATGAATGTATGTTTAGTGGCAACTTTAGTGCCCAATGGGCTGTTCTACCACCATCTAACAATGTCGCAGCGCTTCCAGATGATGTTAGTGCTAAAGCGATATTACCTTGCATCCTAACCTTTGCAAGAATGACTGAAATTAAGAAAGTTTTTCCAGTTCCACCTGGTGCATCCAAGAAAAAAAAGCCGCCTTCTTTTGCCGCAATTGCGTTCGAAACCTGATAATAAATGAGCTTTTGTTGGTGCGTTAACATTTGTTCGCTTCTTGTAACAAATTCAACCAAATCCTCAGAGCTATTCTGAAGTTCGCGCTGCATATCATTGTTAAATAGATCGGTTGCCAAACGATTTGGCGAATACAATCCTAATAATTTAAGTGGTTGATTTCATATAAGTAAACATAAGTCTTCGATCATAATCAAAGCTTCGTTATAAATTTCACGATTGAATTGAATACTTAAGTCATGATTTGTTGTTCTATGTCTATGTAGTATATTTGCTCATTGAGCATTTATATTTTTCCCACAATTCTTTGGGATTATTTGGAAAACATGTTGTCAACAATATGGTGAATAATTGACGAATTTGATGTGGAAAAGAACTTAATACTGCATCCCGGAGCGTGATGCTCCAATGATTATCGCTTTCCAGCAATTGCAATTCTCTACATGCATCATGATATGTATTGTATAGCTGACCATTGACAGTTCTCAAATACTCATACGATGTTGGACCGCGTACATTTATCAAAAGCAGTCTCGTTGTTTTGGATAAACATTATGTAAACGATCCAGTGTGTTTGCCGAAAATAATCCTGGATAACCATTGACTGCAACACCTCGTTTACGTGACTGCCACTTTTTTAAAGTTTTGTTCCATGTGAAATATGTTGGAACTTCCGAATAAAGTAAAGTTCTTGCGTATTGCCCAAAAATATTTTGTTGTTTTTTCAATTCAAAGAACTCGGTTAATGTAGTGTTATAGTTACAAAATGTAATTGTAATGTTATGGTGATGATCTTAATGCTTCGCCATGTAATGGTTGCAGGATGTTAGGATCGTCAAGATATAATAGCAGGATTGTTAGATAGAGTCTTCTCAATTAATATCACCAAATGATGTCTGAGTCCTGAAAGAATTCAAGGATCACTTATCGACCAGTGTAAGTGGAAACGACCTATCAGTATAGAGGAGAGTATTACTAAGCTCTTCAGCCGCTTATTGTTCTTTCAGCATCTAAATGCCGCATAGAACACGATTCAAATAAAAGACGTAACCTTGTCTTAAGTTAAATTGAATCTATTTTTATTATAAAAATTATGGGTATTTATACGTATTCTAGCTTATTTACTAAACAATTATTATTTACTTCTGATTGATTTGAGTAACCAATCAATGCCTTGGTTACTCCCATAAATTACATTAATTATTTTATTACATATATTTTATAAACAAATACTTTTCTAAAGCATTACAATAATACGTCATATATTGTTTTTAAAGAGTTAATGTACTTTCTAGAATTTAGGTCGGAATAGTGCAATGACCATACATGCTTATCATGTCTTATGTTACAAATGCATATTTGTAACAGCATGAGTCAAAATATTTCTTTTAAGTAATATGATCAAAGTCAAAGCGTCAAACCGACAAAAGTGCATATTATAATTTATGACACATTTATTTTGTCTGAATGAACAGTGGCTTGTCACATATGATATTAATGTAGGTCATGGACACTACACCCTACCCCTTTAGAAAAGTGTAAATTAATTGAATTGAATATTTAAGTAATTTGCACTACAACGATTTTATATAATTACAAGTGATTAATTTTTCATATATCATATTTCTTAAATTAATAATTTTATATATATATTTTTTTTTATATTGCTATAAATGTAATTATTATTTAATATGTGGATTCGTATCTAGTAAAATATTATTATTTAATATTTCCAATATGTAGTATTCGTATAATTCTTACTTAATATGATATTACTTTTAATTATGTCTTGACTTTCTTTTAATTTTAATTCTTTCTGCAGCTTATTAAATATTTCTTTCAGTTCTTGAAAGTTTATTTTATTTAATATTTCATCGTTTTCCGCCAGCGCTAGCTTTGTAATTTTTAAGTTGTTCAACTTGAATAATAACTTCTTCAGAATCAATTTTATCTCCGATAATGATTTCTCGTTAAATTCGACAACTATCTTATTTGCTGCTATAATATTTATTGCACTATTTTCATTGAACTTTTTATTTTTATGTTCAAGTACTTTTCCACCTTTAATATATTTTGCACTGTTTCTATTGAACTTTTTATTCTTATGTTCAAGTGCATTTTCTTCAATTCCATTTGCAGAATGGTTTACCTTTTTAAATTCAAGTTTCTTTACAAATCTTACATCTGTTTTTGATGTCGCGTTCCACATGTGGAGATGATCAATTTCCGTGTTAGCATTCAAGGTTTGCTTTTTACTTTCTTTATGTGCTTTAATATTTTTGCTCATTGTTCTAGTTAATACATTTATGTTTTTGGGTATCATTTCAATTAGTTGCTTTGAATCTAATTGAATCCTAGATAGTGCATCTGCGTTCGTATTCATTTTCCTTTGTTTAAATATAATGTTGAAGTTGTAATCCATTAAATCTATCCTAATCCTTATTAGTTTTGAGGATGGATTCTTGTGTGTAAAAAGACTAACTAGTGGTCTGTGATCAGTATATACCGTAAAATTTCGTCCATATAAGTATGGTCTAAAATAATTAATTCCCCAATGAATTGCAAGAAGTTCTTTCTCTATTACAGGCTTGTTTATTTCATGCTTGTTTAGAGTTTTACTAGCATAAGCTATTGGCTTATCATTTCCTATTTCTCCTTGTGACAAAACTGCTCCTAATGCATAATTAGAGGCATCTGTCGTTAATATAAATGTTTTTCAGAAATCTGTGTAACTTAAGATAGGTGGTGAAATTAACTTTGTTCTCAAACTTTCAAAAGATTTATCACAATCTTCCGACCAGCAGAATATTTGATTCTTCTTTAGTAAGTTATTGAGAGGTCTAGCTATTTCAGCAAAATCTTGTATAAACCTTCGATAATAATTGCACATGGCAACAAATCTTCGAACTTCATCAGAATTTCTAGGTTTCGGGTAATTTCGGATCACTTCATGTTTGCTTGGATCAGTGCATACACCTTGCGCTGTTATTAAATGTCCAAGATATACAACTTCTGGTTGTAAAAAATCACATTTTTCAGGGTTTAATTTAAGATTATGTTCTTGTAGTCTACTAAATATTTTTATTAGATTTTCATTTTGATTTTTTAAATTTGAACCGAATATTATTATGTCATCTACATATAAAAATGCGGACGAATCCAAACCAGTTAATGCTAAAGTTAGCATTCTTTGAAAACTATTAGTTGAAATTTTTAAGCCAAAAGGTAATCTTTTAAAATGAAAATGACCTGTATTGGTTGAGAACGCAGTTAAATGTTTCGATTTATTGTTAAGTGGAATCTGATGAAAACTACTAGTCATATCAAGTGTAGAAAAATATTTCGCTTTACCTAATATATCTAGAACGTCTGCTAAACGAGTTAGTGGAAATTTATCATCTACTACTTTGTTATTCAGCTGTCTGAAATCTATTACTAATCTCTATTTCTCTTGTCCATCTTTATTCTTTTTCAGAACTAATAAGATTGGTGAATTATAAGGACTTGTTGACGGTTCTACTATGTCTTCTTTTAGTAATTTATCTACCTGTTTATTCACTACATGTAATTGCGTATTCGGAGTTCTGTAATTTTTTATGTAAACTGGTGTTTTATCTGTAGTTGATATATGCTGCTCATAAAAATTATTAATTGTTAGAGTTTCTCCTTCTAAATGAAATATTTCCTGGAAGTCTTCACAAATGTTTAATATCGAATTTTCTGCTTTTTGATCTAAACATGGGAGTTTCAATAACTTCTTTATTCTATCAAATCTATTAGCATATAGGGACGCTCTGTTATAATTTAATATGTTATAATCTTCTAATTTTTTTATTTCAATTTTTGCATTTTTTATGACTACTGGTGTTTCTCTTGTATTTAATATTCGAATGTGTTTTATACCTATTCCTGGTATTACGGAATTAGCTATAAATACTCCTTTCATTATCTCTTTACCACAAATTATACTATCTTCATTTATATCTAATTTTATAGGTTGAACTACTTT